GTAAGCTATATATGGGATAAATAGAAAATAATTAAAGAGAGAGGTCTTAAGAGGGGTTGGGAAGAGCTTTTTATTGAAGATGGGATGTAAGTTAGGCTTGGAAGGAAGCCAGGGAATCTGGGAGGTGGAGAGGAGGAAGAAGAGCCTTCCGGGCATGGGGCACAGCCAGAGAGAAGGCTCAGGTTGCCTTGAGCTGAGAGATGGAGGAACAGCAAGGAGGCCAAGGCCACTGTGTCTGGAGTGAGGGGGGGAGCTGTAAGAAGAGTGGAAAGGAGGGAGTGGGCTGCCTTAGGAAGGGCTTTGAAGGCCAGACAGAGCACGTTGTGTTTCATTTGGAGGCGATAGGGAACCACTGGAGTTTATTGAGTAGGGGAGTGATGTGATCAGACCTGTGCCTTAGCAAAGTCATTTTGGCCCCTGAGTGGAAGATGGGCTGCAGTGGGGAGAGACCTGAGGTGGGCAGATCCACCAGCAGCTACTGCAGCAGTCCAGGCTCGAGGTGATGGGGGCCTGCACCAGAATGGTGGTGGTGTCAGAGGAGAGAAGGGAGGTATTTGAGAGATGGCACGGAGGTGAAATTTACAGGCTTTGGCAACATATTGGGATATGGGGGTGGGGACGGGGTAAACCATAGTGAGGGGTTGAGGATGACTCTTAGGTTGTGAACCTGAGGGGCCGGGAAGACAGTGTTGCCCTCTTTGGTAACAGGGAAATGAGAAGGAGGGTCCAATTTTGGACATGTTGAGTTTCATATTGTTCTGCTGGACAGGTTGAGATGTTTGAAAGGCAGTTTGGAGATGCAAGATTGGAGGCAGCAGAGAGGTTAGGGCTGGAAAGGTAGATTTGAGAGTCATGAGCATGGAGATGACAATTCATTCCATGGGGGCTGATGAGAGATCACCAAAGAAAATAGAGTAGAGAATAGAGAGGAGGGCCCAGACAGAGCCCTTGGGACACCTACAATTAGAGAGTGTGCTAAGAAGGTGGATCCATCAGTGGAGACTGAGAAGAAGCAGCAGTGCCAGAGATAGGAGGAAAACCAAGAGAGAGTGGTGTCCCAAATATCTAGGGAGAAGAAGGTGTCAAGAAGAGTAGAGTCGTCAACAGTGTCAGAAGCTACTGAGAGGCTGAGGAGAATGAGAATGGAGAAAAGACCATTGGATTTGGCAATTAAGAGATCATTAGTAACTGTGGAGAGAGCAGTGTCAATGGAGTAATAAGGTTGGAAGCCAGATTGTGATAAGGTTAAGAGAGAGAGGAGAGAAAGAGGGGTGCCTGTTATAGATGGTCTTTTCAAGGAGTTTACCTACAAAGGGCAGAACAGGTACAGAAAGAGAGTTAGCAGGGACAGAAGGGTCAAGTGAATGTTTTTTGAGGATGGGGAGACATGGGCATGTTCGTAGACTGTAGAGAAGGAGCTAGTTGACAAGGAGAGATTGAAAATAAGTAATAGAGTAAGGATTACAGAGAAGGCAGTCTGCTGGGGAGGAGATGGGATAGAATGGGATCATTTGAACAAGTAGAGGGGTCAGCCTTGGTGATGAGTAAGATTACTTCATCATGTGAGATGGGTAAAGGAAGAGAGAGTAGCAGAAGGTATATGAGAGATAGGAGATGAGGAAGAGGGGAAGAGAAGGAGCTCATGGTTGGTCTGAATTTTTTCAGTGATATATGAGGCAAGTTTCTCAGCTGAGAGAGTGGGGGGAGGGGGAGCCATGGGAGGTTTGAGGAGGAATGGGAAGGTTGGGAAGGGCTGCTGTGGAGAGCAGGAGAGTGAGTTCACAAGTGAAGTAGATTAGGATTGCCAAGCAGCAGGGAGTGTCCCGTTGAGGCTGTGGAACATAAATTTGTAGGGGACCCAGTCAGAGTGGGTGTGTGATTTCCCGCATCTTTGTTCAGTTACGTGTGTCTGGGAGTGAAGGCAGTAGCAGGTGGGAGTGATCCCAGGCTGAAGCATGGCAGGGCATCCACTTAATGATGATAATTTCAGAGTTCTGGATGCCGCCAATTACCTTGTTCTGCTTTCTGTTTTTGACCCTGATCCTGCTGCCTTCTCAACTCTGGGTCTGCCCCTTCTTTGGTGGACCACTCAGAAAATAGACTTTGCTGCCTCAAACAACCCACTAGCAGACGTCTTGCTCGGTGGCAGAGTGGGTTGGAGTTAGGAAGACCTGAATTCAAATTCTGCCTCACATGCTTACAATTGTGTGACCCTTAGATTTTGATAGAGAAATAGGGAACAAGAAGCAGATCAGTGAAATCTATCAGTGACACCAGTTTTAAGAAGTAATAAATCCTTTTCTCCTTTGGGCATACTTCTTTTGGAATACCCAAGCCCAGAATTTGTCTTTTTTCCTTCCAAAGGACATCCTATCTTTCCCTTTCAGAATATAAACACTGAATCATCAGCTAACCTTTTTGAGCTATTTAGAACTGTTTACCTTTATTAAATTTCTTTTGTCTGCTGTGTATTTTAAAAATGATTTTTCAAAAGTCATAAGTTCTGTTAAAAGTCTACTTTTTTTTTTTCCTGTAAGACTAAACTCAACTTTTCAGGATATTATCCTTGGATACAAGCCATTTTCCTTTGCTTTTTGGTATATTATATTCCATTTTTGGAGTGCCTGATCATCTTTTCCTGGATGCCTAACAATGTATTTTCTTTTACCTTGGAATACAGAAGTTTGGTATTTCCAATTCTGGGAGAGTTAAACCAAGGGCTCTTTTCTAAGGGTGTTCTGTGAATGTTATCAGTCTTTAACTTTATTTCTGGTATTTTTTGATAAACTTAACTTTTCAGCTATCCTGAAGTATGGCATTCAGGCTTTTCATTTCATCGTGAATTTTATATGATGGCCCTCCTATAAAAATCTAATTCTAGAATTAGATTAGAATTCTAGAATCTATCTGTACTAGATATAAGAATATAATTCTTGGATTATCTCACTGAATCCTGGCTACTGGATCAATTGTTTTTGGTTGTAGAAACTTTATGTGTCCTTCAAGTTTTGCTGTCTTTTGATGTTTTTTAATAGTTGTTATTATAATTTATATTTTGAATGTATCTCTTCTGTTCTTTTCTTCTCTAGGAAGTCAGATTCATTAAGATTTTCCAACTTCTAAACAAACTATTTTTGAGTTTTTAATTAAAATTAAAATTTCATTCCTTACATTTTGCTTCTTTTTCTTCAGACTTCCAATTACTTCTTGAGTTCTTGTGGCCTTTTCTTATTACATGGTATTTTAAAAAATTGTATTAGGAGGTTTTTTTCATTTTCTTAATCTTTCTGCCAGTTTTTCTATTTCAGTGTGATACAGTCCAATAGGCATTTGTTAAATACCCACTGCATGCAAGGTGTTGTGCTAGACACCTGTGGATTCAAAGACAGAAATGAAAAATGGTCCCTGTCCTCAAGCTCACATTCTCCCAGTGTGGGAGGATATCATACGCAAACAGATAAAAATGCCATCCCTCCTCTGTCTTTCATGGTAATCTCATCACCATATGGTGATGGGTTCAATGATCACTCTTATGCAGATGATTCCCAGATCCACAAATCCAGCTGGAGTCTTTCTTAAGCTTCAATCCTGTATCACCAGCTGCGCCTTGGGCATCTTGTGATAGGTGTCCTGTACACATCCTAAACTCAACATGTCCAAAACAAAACTCATTCTCTTCCCTGGCCCAATCCCCCCCTAGTCTCTTCTCTTCTCACCTTCCCTGTTACTGTCTGGGATACCACCATCTTCCCATTCCTTCAGGCTCTTTACTCTCACTCCTTTCTACCTTCATAACAACTCTCAAATATCCCTATTTGTCCGCTTTCAAACAGCTACCACCCTGGTTTGGGCCTTTGTGCACAAGGAGTCCCTCTGCCCAGAACGCTCTGCTCCCTCACCTCTCCCTCTTTATTTCCTTGACCTCTTCCAAGACTCAGCTTAAATCCCGCCTATTCCAGGAGGCCTTTCCAGATAGTTATGCCTTTCCCTCTCAGCTTGCCTTCCCTATGTGCCTTATGTATCTTGTATGTTTGTGGTTATTTGCATGATAGTTTCCACATTAAAATGTAAGCTCTTTGAAGTCAGGAACTATCTATTGCCTTCCCCTCCTGTCTCCCCCCTTACCCTGCTTTTTGTAACCCCTGGAACTTAGTGGAATGCTTGGGACATAGTAATAAATAACATAATAAATGCTTGTTGACTTGACCTGAAAATATACACATGATAAACTGAGGAGGAAGAAAGGAGCATTAAGAACCAAAAGGGGAGCAGAGGCCTGCAGGGCCTGGATCAGGGTGGTCCCTGAGTGAAGAGAGAGATAAGGATGAGGAAAGGGAACAGCTGAGGATATGGCTGAGGTTTCAGGATAATAGTCTTCTTGATGAAATAGGAAATTAGAAAGAGGGGAATGGAATTAGAGGGAGATAATAGGTTAGTTCTGTTTTAGAAATTTTGAGTTCGTGATCTATGTGGTGTGGGACCATCCTACCAGAACCAGGCTAGGGCTGGATCTATAGATTTGAGAATCTTCTGCAGAGGGTGAAAATTGACGCTTTCGGGGTTGATCATCGCCAAGAGAGAATGTGGGGAGTGGGAAGAGGAAGGCCCCAGGACACAGTCTTGGGAGATAGCCACGTTTAAAGAGCAGGGCCTCAATAATGTCCCGGAAGAGATGCTGGGAGGGGGAAATAGCCTTACTTTCTCCTGTTTTAGTTTTAACAGTTTTATTTGGTGCATTTCTAGATGTGATAAAGGAGGAACTGGACTTATAGGCTTATATAAGATAGCAGAAAATTTCATAATTTTAATTATTCTTATACTCTGGCAAAATAAGGATGTTTCATTTAGCTTTGCCCAGTTTAGGCTTTCTCAATTTAAGTTTTTTAAGTGGCTTCTGTTTGTACTTGGCAGGATTCTTCTGTTTTTTTCTAGTGTATAAGAGTTCATTTTATAAGCCACATTCACGTAATCAAAATGCTCATTGTTTTGCCTTGCCCCAGGTATCTTGTCCACGTCTGCAGCTGAAAGACAAGGAGGACGTCTATCTCAGCGTTTGTGTGTTTGGCCAGTACAAAAAGACACAATGTGTCCCTCCTATCTTTCCGCTGGTCTTCAATGCCAGAATGGTGTTTGAAAAGGTATGCTCGCTTGTGAATTCAGCCCCGTGAGTCCTGAAAAGGCCATGTTTACATGTCATGGGCAAGGTATATGCTAATACTTCCAGAGTTTCCAGGCTTAGGGGAGGACAGGCATTTAACTGCATTGGGAAACATGGGAAAAGAGCCTCACCATTTGCTAGGGAAAGTACAAGTCTAATTTTACTTCTCAAAAACGTCCCTTCAGTGTTACACTGGTGACTTGACTTAGTCCAGAATCAGTTCCTATGTGCCACAGAAAGTAGAATTTTCAGGCACTGAAAACATGAGTAATTTTAAACAATCATACAACAAAGTGTTCTTTGTTATCCCTGTGAGTGTCCCACACTGAGCTGATGCTTATCTGGCCTTCTCATCCTGGCTAAAGTCCAACTCATGATCATGGTACTATGGACTTTTATTTTATTAAATAGGAAATGTATGACTGGAGTCAAGATTTAATAGCTTAGAAATAAATCTTTGTCATCAACTACTGAATTTAGGAATTATCCCCCTTAATTATCAGTTATCTTTTTCTCAGTGCAAAAGTTTATTTCTCAAGTTGTCATAGTTGATTAAAAAAAAAACAACAACTGTGCCTTGAAACATGAATAATATACTACAGGAAGGGAATAGTGATAGATACTACATAAGAAGACGCTATTGCCTTGTGGATCCTTAGAGCTAATTCTTGTTCCATCTGGTCTGTTTACCTGGCTTGCCCCCAATTGCCGGATAACATTCCTTGAAGTGCAGCATTAGTAACTGTATTTCTGCTCACTCTTTCCATCCACTATACTAGGGCAGCTAATATTTACGTAATACAAGAACCTTTGACAACAACCGTGGGAAGAAGTGACAGTGTAACAGTGGTGACAAGATATGAGGGTTTCTCTAGATGGGACGGGAAGGACTTTGTGAGGATGGCGGAAGGGAAACTCACATTTTCATGACCTTCCCTGCCCCAGCAGAAACTGTTGAACTCATTGTCTTTGGGTTCCACAGTAGCACAGGTCTGGCTCACAGCACTTGCTGCTGGCTGATGGAGTCCTTTCTCTGCCTCTTTTCTTACCAGGTGTTCCCTGATGCCATAGACCCAGGAGATGTAGTAGCACAACTCGAATGTAAGTTTTGTTTTTATTTTTTTTTTAATTCATTGTTTCTGACTATCTACTGATTATTTGTTTTTCTATAAGATTTGAGGGCTGATCTTTGACTGTTTTCCTTACAACACACAGCATTACTGTTGATGCTTGACCAGGGAGGGGGCTGAGGCTCACGGAAGGGAAGGAATTGGCCATGCTAGTCCGCAGGCCTGGTCTCTAGATCAGAAGCTGGGCCTTTTACCTCTCTACCTCACTGCTTGTTGTTATAGCAACCTAAGACTTCAAAAGTATCATTTTCAAAGACAACCCCATCCTCCCCTCCCCAGGATGTAGGTAATGCAAATGGTACTATTTTATAGATGAGGAAATGGAGAGTAAGGAGGATTAGGTGGATTGTCTAGTCTGCAGCTTCCCAGGAGGTCAGAGCTGGAACCTGAACTCACATAGCTCTCAGCCATCTCCACACTGTATGTTCTTCACTCAGGCCACCTCTTCCCCATTAGAGAATTGGATTCTGCTCCTGGAACCACCCTGGGCTTTGACAGGCCAGTTTGGGCCTTATTTTGCCCAGATCCAAGGCTCCACAGCATTTCCAAGCAGTTTTTGTCCGATAATTGGGTCCTCACCTCAATAATTGGGGGTCATTAGGTTTACTGGATGCTGTCTGTTTTGCTTCTGGATGCTGTGTTAGCTAATCTATTTTACTGATTGACTTTTATGTATTTTATCCATAACCAAATTGTTTTAATGATTACTATTTTGTAGTATCATTTGAGATCTGCTACTACTAGGCTCCTTTACTTCTCTTTTTTTTTCACCATCTCCCTTGAGAATCTTGCCTTTTTCATCCAGATGAATTTTTTAAATTAAAATTTTTTGGCAAGACAATTGGGGTTAAGTGACTTGCCCAGGGTCACAGAGCTAGTAAAGCGTCAAGTGTCTGAGGCCAGATTTGAACTCAGGTCCTTGTGACTGCAAGGCTGGTGCTCTATCCACTGCACCATCTAGGTACTCCTTAAATTTTTTTTTATCAACAAAAATCTATCTTCTCTTCCTCCTTTGTCCCTCCACCCCCAGTCGAGAAGGAAAGAAAAATAAAGGCCACATGTAAACATATGTAGTCAAGCAAAACAAAGTTCTGCATTGGCTCTGTCCCCAAAAAAAGCGTCCCTGCACTCTGAGTCCTGCACCTCTCTCTCCAGAGGTAAGTAGCAAGTTTCATCAAGAGTCTTCTGGAGTTCTGGTGAGTCGCTGTGTGGGTTGCAGTTCTTAAGGCTTTCAAAGTTGTTTGCCTTGACAGTATTTTTCTTATTGTATCAATTGTTCCCTCGTTATGTTCACTTCACTCAGCATCGTTTAGGAAAGTCTTATTAGGTTTGTCCAAAGCTCCTCCCTTCATCATTTCTTACAACGCAATAGTATTCTGTCACATTTATATGTCATAACTTGTTCAGCCATTCCCCATTTGATGGTCATCTCCTCAGTTTCCAGTTCTATGCCATTGCAAAAAAAAGTTGCTATACATTTTTTATACATCCTTAGAGACTATTTTGCTTAGGATTGATCCCTTCGTTAATCTGTCTTTCCTCTTACCCTCCCTTTTCCCCTTTCCCTCTTATTTTCCTATTTAGTGAAACGCATTTCTGTTCCTAGCTCTGTGTGTGTGTATGTGTATTCTTCCTTATTTTGACCAGTTCTCACTTTCCTTTCCTTCTTTTTAGTATTCTTTTTTGTCCTTGTTTACTTCAGTTATGTGAGAAAATTTTCATTAACCTGACTTTCCCTCTCTCACCCCTCAATGTGTGTTTTTTCCCCTCTTATGATCATCAGAATGTAATGAGATCCCTCTCTGGCCCTCTGTCATATTTGGCTCACTCTATGAGCCCTGATATTAGTGTTCTGAAGGAATGCTGCATTATCTTCCCTACTAGAATGTATATGCGTCATCATTCTGTAGTCCCTTATGATTGCTCACTCACATGTACCTTTTTGTTTTGCTTGACTCTTGCTTTTGTATTTCAGAGTTTCTACTCAACTTGCGTCTTTTCATCAGAAATGCTTGAAAGTATTCTATTTCATTAAAGACCCTTTTTTTCCTCCTGTAGCATCATGCTTAGTTTTCTTGGGTAAATTGTTCTTGGCTGTAAGCCTATATCTTTTGCCATTTGTAATGCCATATTCCAGGCTCTTTGTTTTTTTATACCGTGTAGTGGTTGCTGCTAAATCATATGTGACCCTGACTGTGGCTCCTACTTGAATTCTTTCTTTTTGATTCTGTGCAATATTTTTTCTCTGATTTGGAAGCTTTGGATTTTGGCTATAATGTTTCTGGGAGTTTTCATTTTGAAGTTTGTGTCAGGAGGCAACTGGTGATTCTTTCTATTTCCACATTGCCTTCTGGTTCTAAGAGATTTGGGAAGTTTTCTGTTTTGATTTCTTGAAATATGTCTAAACTCTTTCTTTGGTCATGACATTTAGGTAGTCCAATAATTCTTAAATTATCCTTGATCTTTTTTCCAGTTTAGTTGTTTTTGGTATGAGATATCTTACAGTTGCTTTTATTTTCAAAACTCTTTTGACTTAGTTTTAATATTTCTTGTTGTTTTATGGAGTGTTTAGTGTCTATTTGGTCCATTCTGATTTTCAGGGAGTTGGTTGCTTGGGCAAGGTTTTTTTTTTTTTTACCTCTTGTGCCAAGATATTAATTCCCTTTCCAGTTCTTTCTTCCATAGCTCTCATTTCTTTTCCATTTTTTCCTCATTAGCACTCTTATTTCATTTACAAAACCATTTTAAAGTCTTTTTAAAATTCTTGCTTCATTTCTCCTGGGAATTCTAGTTGAGCTTTGTGTTCAAGCTGTGTTTCTCTTTGCGATTTTGCTTGTAGATACTTTGAAGCCAGATGTGTTTAGAACTTTTGTGTTGATGAGTCAGCAGATTGAGCAGTCTAGAGTGGGATGAAGATGTCACTGGCTTGGGCCTCCTCCCTAAAGTGGAGGTTCTGGGAGGAGCCAGGCAATCTGGGGGATAGGCCAGGCTCATTTCTCACTGTGCCCCTTTAGAATCCCTTTGTAATTTGATGACAATGGATGCTGTCCCTTCCTTTTATGTGCTCTGTGCTTCCTGCCCCTGAGATCATGTGCATCCTTCATGGGGCCTGTAGGGTCCCTTGAAGCTTCTGAAGTTCCCACAATCAGATGCAGTCTTCCCTTCCTCTTTTAAAAATTGGTATTCCTTTTGTCTGCTGCTCCCTTTTGACAAAGAAAAGCAGTTGAGCAAAGATACCCATGAGTGTGAAGCTGTCCTGGGAGTTCCTGACCTGTTTACTGGGTGGCTGAGATGTTTCCCTGATCCTTTCCTGGGAACTTCCTCAGTCATTCCATACTCCGGGTCAGGTTTCCTTTAATGATCCTTCACACATAGTTGTAGCCACAGCACACATTGTCCTCTGAGTTCTACTCAGTTTTCTCTGAATCAGTTCATATCCATCTTCCTACCTTCCTCTGAATTTCTCAGATATTTGGAGCATCACGTGTAAGGAAGGGTAGGTTGGCCAGGGACGTGCTGAGGGCGTGGAAATGTACCTTTGCCTTTTTGCCTGGTGACTGCTCTGATTTGCTGAGAAAATACCTCAGGGCTGCGCTGGCTTTGTTTACTCATGAAAAATCTGTTTCCTTTCTTTGCAGACGACACAGCCGTGTTTGAGTTGATACAGCTTGTTCTGCCAGGTATGAAACTGGTTCTATTCCTGAGACAACATGGGGAGCTAGTTTACAGTGGAATGACCTTTTTCATCTCCCCTAGCCCAGGCCCGCCCCCATCCTTGCAATGCCAAGGATTACAGGTGTGCCCCATCGTAATCTTCTGGGGGTTTCGTTGATGGTGATAGGGTGTAGGTGTCTACATGTCATGTCAAACTGAAGTTGTAGTTTAAAAAAGCATTCTTTTGTCACCTCAAATTACTTGTTGAATGTGTGAAAATATCCCCACTGTAGAGATAAGAAAGCAAGTCATAGTTGCTGATAATTAATAGTCTGATATTCTGATTCATTGGCATGGGTTTTCTCTGAACTGATGTTGGTTGCCACCCCATTCAGACCTTAACAGATAGTTTCATGTTTACCTGTGGCTGAGAAAAATGGACTACCTCCTGACCAGACCTTTGGTAATGAATCTCTCAGAACTTTTCTTGGCCTGTCCCCTGATGACAGGATCATGGTTAATCACCAGGTGTGTCCTAGAGGCCCTTCTGCTCCACTGACCACCCAGCCTTTGAGAACTCAGGGCTGTTTCTGTGCCATGAGGAGGTTAGGGGTGGGCTGGAGGGGAGAAACAAAGGATGGGAGGTGAGAAACAGAAATGGAGGGAAACAGTTGTGGGATGTCTCTTGCCTTCTGTGCGGGATTTACTTTTCAAGCGAAAAATGATGCATATCACCATTCAGAGCTTTCTTCCTTAAGAAGTATTAAGATTCAAAATGCCACCTGGGACAGTGGTTTTAAATTGGTCAAATACAATGAGAACCTGGCAGGACAGTTTGTAAAAGATGCCATTGTTTCTGGACACAGGGGTGTGTATCAACATCTTCATTTTCAGTCCTAAAATCTGTTCCTTGCAGTGGGTGAAACGCTCTCTATGTATGAGGAAAACACAAGAGACTTCATGTTCCCCAGTCCAAAGCAAATGTCTGGACACCATGATTCAAACCGCCAAGTGATGATGCAAAGAATTTCTGGCATCAGGGTAAGTGCCAACCACGTGAGGCCCCAGGTGTGGTACAGGAAGCATGGTCTGGGCGGCCTGGAGCCAGCACTTCTTTACGTGCTTGCTCTTGACTGATAACTCAGTATTAGAAATGGGAAGTCCTCTCTAAGGTTGACGTCTGAGAGCATAGAGTGTGTTTGTAAGGAATGGTCTCTAACGCCACGCCCATCAACGTTTGCCGGTCAGGATCGAGGCAGTTTCTGTGATGTGTGGAGCTTGTGGAAATACCACAGAATGCGCTCTTTGCTCTTTTTCTCCCCTGTGGATGGATATGTGATAGAGGGATGTGATTGCTGTCCCCGGTACTCCTCTTCCACACCTTCAGCTTTGCTCTCATGTGTGTCCTCAGTTTTTCTTTTGGCCTCTCTAAAGGATCCATTCAGAGTGCAGTGAGGAGGCCCAGGAAGCACTTACTTGGGCCATCTCTTGTCTCTGGCTCTTGACACCTGAGCTTTTCACCTCCTGTCTTAATCACATATTTTCTCAACATTATCCTTTATATTTCTCTGTGCGTGTAAGGCATCACTGACAGTCCAGTGCTGCCACCCTGCCACACATCTCTGCATACAGTATGTTGTTTGGTTTGGTTTTGGATCCAAGATTTTATTGGAATTGGAGACTTTTGATAAATAATTTTCCTCTACCTAAGCAGCAGATGCACACCTCTTTGTCTTCAGAAGTGCTTGGGACACTGGGAGGTAAAGCAGCCTGGCCAGGGACACATGCTGGTATATGTCTGAGGTGATACTTGAAGTCAAGTCTCCTTTGAGCCCTAGAGCGATTCCCTATCCATTATGCCATAGTCCCTCCCTTACAGTGCAATACAACAAATATTTACTAAGTGCCTCAAGCATGCAGAGCTTGGTAGGGTTGGGTGTGAGGGTAGAATTAAGCCAAGGGCCTTGTCCTTGTGGAGCACACAGGCTGGTCAGAGAATAAGAGGCCAACAGGTATGGCTGTCATCTTCAGTATTACATGAGAAGGGCAGATAAAGGGCTGTGGGAGCTTTGGGTTGGAGGAATGTGTGGCCTTCAGGAAAGGCTTCTGTGGAGAAGGTATGAGTTAAACTGATGAATGGGCAGGAACTTAGCTGGGGGAGGAGGCATAGGAAAGACAGTGTAAGGAATGGCTTGAAAATGGAAAGTGGCATGGTGTATTTTTTGGTCAGAGAGTTAGCCAGTAGGTAACTAGAGCATAGAACGTGGAAGGGAGTACATGAAATCGAGGTGGAAAGGTTAGATTGTGGCGGACCTTGAATGCTGGGCAGAGGAGTATGGTCTTGGCCTGGCAGGCACTTTGGAGCCTTTGAAGATCTTTGAGTAGAAGACGAACATGGCTGTGTCTGAGCCCTAGAAGAATTATTCCGAAAGTGTGGGAGGTATATAAAGGAAGTGTATTGTCCATCAGTCAGCAAGCACTTGTACTAAGGACCAGGGATACAAAGAAAGGTGGAAACAGCCCCTCCCATTTTAATGGAGGAGACATTTTGTAAACACAATTTGAGAAAGCCCAATGGTAGAAGTGTCATTTTAGTCCCGGCTCAGCCATTGAGAAGAGTTAACTTGTTATTGGAAACAAATTCCAAAACTGTTCCTTCACTCAGTTTGCTGTAAACCTCAGGGTTGATGCCAACATTAAGTTAAATAAACCACCTGTGATAGAGACTTGAAGGAACTAGCCAAGACCTGAGGAGCGCATGATAACCTTCTCCAGATAACTTCAGGGCTCGTATGTGGAAGAAAGATTGGCCTTGTCTTCAAAGTGATTATCCTGAAGCACAGTGTGACTATGTCCTTCTCTGCCAGTGAACTCCTAGAGCTTCTTGTTTCCTTCGGACCAAACATAAACCCTTGTGCTTGGCTCTCACAGACTTTTCTAGGTTGGGCCCATCTTACTTTCGTAGCCTATCTGCCATCACCCCCTCTCACACACTCCATGGGGCAGACGCACCATCCTTCTTTGCCATTTCTCATAGAAGACATTCCATTGCCATCGCTGTGCCTTCGCAAGGTCCTTTTCCCATGTCGAAAATTTCTCTTCACTTCGGCTTTCTAGTGTCTCTGGCTTCAGGTCACATTCCATTTTCTAAATGAGACTTTTCCTATTGCTTCATTTGTTAGTGCCTTCCTCCCCACCTTTCTCTCCAATCACCTTTTAATTTATTTTACCTATTAATTTAATTTATTTTATTTAATTTATTATTAAATTAAATTAAATCTAATAATTAATTTTATTTATATCTATTTATCTACCTATGGATGAATATATGTGCCAAGTTTACATATCGTTTTCCCCAGTAGACAGTAAGTTCTGTTAATGTGGAGGGGGACAATTTCACATTTATCTTTGGGTAGCTCCAATTGTTAGGAAGTTTTCCTGAGATCAAGCCTAAATTTGCTTCTTTGTAACTTCCCCTCACTGTTTCTGATCCTGTCCTCTGGGGCCAAGCAGAACAAGGCTGGTCCTTTGCCTGCAGAACAGCCCTCCACATGCTTGAAGATAGCTCTTATGACCCTCTGAGCCTTCTCTTTCCCAGGATAAATATGCCCAGTTCTTTCCACAGATCCTCATATGCCATGGACTCCAGGACCTTCATGGCCCTACTCACTGCCCTCAGGATTCTCCAGCATGCCATTGTCCTTTTTAATACACACCCCTTGAACTGTGGACACTGTGGTCCAGCTGTGGTCTGTTAGGATAGAGGACAGTGGGATCATCCTGTCCCTCGCTGTGGACCCCAGAGCCGTCTCCCTGTCACTCGTGTATATTTGACGGCCTTCATGCCGGCTGGTTCTTTTTATATGCCAGCATGTCATTCCACTGACTGGTGACTTGAGCTCGTTGAGGACAGCTAGCGATGATCCTTCTCTGTCTCTGGAATGCCCTTCCCCTTCTTGTCCATCTCACAGAGTCTCTCTCTTCCCCCCATTATCTCTAAGAAGGATTTCCTGGTGCTCTCACTCTCTTTCTAACTGCCTTTTCTTGAATTATTTAGCATCTCTTTGTAGTTATTAAGTTTACATTTTTTTCTCAGTTTATACACAGACGTCCTTGTTGTCTCCTTCGGTAGAATTTAGTAAGATCCTTGTGAGCCAAGGATTCGTATTTGCATTTTCCATGCCTAACACAGTGCCAGCATGTAGCAGGTGCTTCACAAGTGCCTGTTAATTGATTGATTTCTCCTTCCTAATAGTTTTGGTTCTGTTCTCTGTAGTTTAAGGTCATTCCCCTTGGAAAAGAAACCAAGCAAACTAAGGCTCGGCTGGTAGAGCGTTTTCTGGACGGTCCTTTACAGTCATCTCGGCCCCACCGAGCAGGAAGCCTGTCCTTTGGTTTCTCTTCCTTTTTGTTGTTTTTCACATTCCTCACTCATTCGCCTGTTGCATGTTTAACCCACGCTTTGTCAGGCAAAGACAAAACAGTCACTGCCACCACGGGCTGCTTCCATTCTGTCCAGGGAAACAACCCATCCCCATAGAAGTAGATTTAAAACATATCCAAAGTGAATCCAGGGCCATTTGGACAGAGAAAGCTGTGAAGCCATGCTGACCGGGCCTGTTACAAGTTTACGTTGCATAACTGCAAGGTGAGAGTCCAGTACCCCAATGTGAGGAGCAAGTAGCAAAAGAGACTGAAGGAGAGAGTTGTCAGGCAGGTAGGAAGAGAGTCGTATGATGAAAAGCCAGAGAGGAGCGAATGCCCTTGAGAAGAGGGCGATGGACAGCATCGAGGCTGCAGAGAGGTCAAGAAGGAGGAGGACTGACAAAGGGCCATTGGGTTTGGTCAGTAACCTTGGACAGAGCAGGTCCAGTTGAGTGATGTTGATGGAAGCCAGACTGCAAAGTGTTAAGGGATGGGTAAAGAGAGGAAGTGAATGAAGTTGCATATAGACACCTTCTTCTAAGAGTTTGACTGGGAAAGGAGGGAGAGATATAGGATGATGGCTTTAGGGTAAAGTGAGCGTCTTGGGGGGATGTGTGAGACCTGGATAAGTTTGTAGGTAGTAGGGAAGGAGCCAGTAAGTTGGGAGAGACTGAAGATTAGAGAAAGAGTGAGGATGGTTTGGAGGCCACTGTGTCAGAGGAGATGGGAGGGAGTGTGATCAAGGATACATGTAGTGGGATTGACCCTGGCAAGGAGAATGGCTGAGTCTTCATTGGAGGGAGAATAAAGGATGAGAAGGGATGGAAGATGAAGTCAAGGGACTTCAAGTGTATTCAAGAATATTATGAAGTGAGAAGTCAAGGCAAATAGCACTTATTTTCTCAGTTAAGTGTGAGGCCAGGTCCTCAAGCTACTATAAGCTACTAGAGTGTCGGAAGGGATACTATTTGAGGCTTGACGAAAGAAGAGAAGATTCCGAGTAGCTGCTGTGAGGAACGTGAAAAAGAATCCCTTGGGTAGAATTAAAGGGATTGTCTTGTTGCACTGAAAGCACAGAAACCTGTAGTGGACCCAGTCAGCAGCAGGTGAGCAGGCTCAGAAGAGGCAGACAGTGGGACGGGGTTTGGCCAGGCACCTGCCAGAGTAAAACCAGGGCATGAAGGCCCAGGGAATTCAAGAGCAGGGGAAGGTTAAACTGGTTAACTATGGGACCAAGAACGGAAGGGAGGAAAGGGACCTAGTAGCTTGGAAGAACCCTTGGTGGGGGGTGGAGGTGGAAGGGATTGGCGGTCAGTGAGAATGAAGAAGAGGGTTCAGAAAATTGAATCCCAGGACAAGATAAAGTGATGGAGGTTGTTAGGGATGTGCCTGACACCAGCACCCTTTCAGTTTGGTTTCAGTGTTGGGACAAAATGAGGCGCTTATAGGTTCAGTTAACAAAAAGGGTTTATTTAGCTATCACATAGAAAAGATATCAGCAAGGAAATAGCAGTACTTAATTCAACTAAGGCCGACAAAGAAAAAAATTAATAGAAGAGATAGAAATTAGGAGGAAGACAAAGTAGATTAAAATTTCTTAGAAAAACAAAATAATG